GATATAATAGTGATATTAATGTGTCCATGTCATTGAGTGAATTAATAAATAGTTGTATCAAGAGGTGTTTAACAAGTTGTCCCTTTAAGAAGTGATATATGTGTATTGACATACGAGATAAGATAAGCGTAGTGACGCTGTGCAAATAACATCCAGGCCACGCTACCCAATTTCCTATCTTTACATTCCTACTCTCTATACTTCCTACTTATATATGTATATCTTCCTCTTCTCTGTTTATTGCGTCTCATTACAATAACAATCGCGACTATGATTATAACAACCACGACCATGATTATATCAAACGCGCCCATGATTATAACAACCACGACCATGATTATAACCACCACGACCGTGATTATAACAACCACGACTATGATTATAACAACCACGACTCTGATTATAACAACCAAGACCATGATTATAACAACCACGACCATGATTATTTCAACCACGACTATGATTAGAACAATCACGACAATGATTATAACAACGACGACCATGATTATAACAACTACGATTATGATCATAACCACAACCATGATAATACAACCACGACTATAATTATAACAACCACGACCATGATTATAACATCCATGACTATGATAATAACAATCACGACTATGATTATAACAACCACGACCGTGATTATATCAACTGCGACTATGATTATAACAACCTCGACCATGATTATAACAGCCACGACTATTACTATAACAACCACGACCATGATTATAACAACCACGACCGTGATTATAACAACCACGACTATGATTATATCGACCACGACTATGATTATAACAACCACGACCATGATTATAACAACCACGACTATTATTAGAACAACCACGACTATGATTATAACACCCACGACTATGATTATAACAACGACGACCATGATTATAATAACCACGACTATGATTAAAACAACCACGACCATGATTATAACAACCACGACTATGATTATAACAACCACGACCATGATTATAACCACCACGACCATGATTACAACATCCACTACTATAATTATAACAGCCACGAATATGATTATAACAACCACGACCGTGATTATATCAAGCGCGCCTATGATTATAACAACCACGACTATGATTACAACAACCAACACCATGATTATAACAACCACGACCATGTTTATAATAACCACGAATATCATTATAACAACCACAACCATGATTAAAGCAACCACGACTATGATTATAACAACCACGACCATGATTATATCAACCTCGCCTATGATTATATCAACCACGACTATGATTACAACAACCAAGACCATGATTATAACAACCACGACCATGATTATGACAACCACGGCCATGAATATAACAACCACGACTATGATTATAACAACCACGACTTCTATTATAACAACCACGACCATGATTACAACATCCACGACTATGATTATAACAGCCACGACTATGATTATAACAACCGCGACAATGATGATAACAACGTCGACCATGATTATAACAACCACGAATATGATTATAACAACTACTACCTCAGGCGATTTATAAATTTAAATCCGACGCATCTACGTTTATAACAACTACGACCAAGATTATAATAACCACGACTATGATTATAAATATCCATTTAATTACGATTATAAATAACCAATAAACTGCGATTATAACCGAATCACTTTAATTCATGATTATAATGTAACCTCACGACTATGATTATAACAACCACGACCAAGATTACAACAACCACGACCATGATTATAACAACCACGACTATGATTATAACAACCACGACTATGATTATAACAACCACGACTATGATTATAACAACCAAGACCATGATTATAACAACCACGACCATGATTACAACAACACCGGCCACGATTATAACAACCACGACTATGATTATAACAACCACCACCATGATTATAACAACCACGAGTATGATGATAACAAAGTCGACCATGATTATAACAACCACGAATATGATTATAACAACCACGACCATGATTATAACAACCACGAATATGATTATAACAACCACGACCATGATTATAATAACCACGACTAGGATTATAACAACCACGACCATGTTTATAACAACCACGACCATGATTATAACAACCACGACCATGATAATAACAATCACGACTATGATTTTAACAACGACGACCATGATTATAACAACGACGACCATGATTATAACAACCACGACGATGATTATAACAACCACGACCATGATTATAACAACCACGACTCTGATAACAACAATCACGACTATGATTATAACAACCACGACAATGATTATATCAAATGCGCCCATGATTATAACAACCACGACCATGATTATAACAACCACGACCGTGATTATAACAACCACGACTATGAATATAACAACCACGACTCTGATTATAACAACCAAGACCATGATTATAACAAACACGACCATGATTATTTCAACCACGACTATGATTAGAACAATTACGATAATGATTATAACACCCCCGACCATGATTATAACAACTACGATTATGATCATAACCACAACCATGATTATAACAACCACGACTATGATTATAACAACCACGACCATGATTATAACATCCACGACTATGATAATAACAATCACGACTATGATTATAACAACCACGACCGTGATTATATCAACTGCGGCTATGATTATAACAACCACGACCGTGATTATAACAACCACGACTATTACTATAACAACCACCACCATGATTATAACAACCACGACCGTGATTATAACAACCACGACTATGATTATAACAACCACGACTCTGATTATAATAACCAAGACCATGATTATAACAACCACGAGCATGATTATTTCAACCACGACTATGATTAGAACAATCACGACAATGATTATAAAACCCACGACCATGATTATAACAACTACGATTATGATCATAACCACAACCATGATTATAACAACCACGACTATGATTATAAAAACCACGACCATGATTATAACATCCACGACTATGATAATAACAATCACGACTCTGATTATAACAATCACGACTATGATTATAACAACCACGACCGTGATTATATCAACTATGCCTATGATTATAACAACCACAACCATGATTATAACATCCACGACTATTATTATAACAACAACGACCATGATTATAAAAACCACGACCACGATTATAACAACCACGACCATGTTTATAACAACCACGAATATGATTATAACAACCACGACCATGATTATAACCTCCACGACCAACATTATAACAACCACGAAGATGATTATAACAACCACGACTATGATTATAACAACTACGAACATGATTATAACAACCACGACCATGATTATAATAACCACGACTATGATTATAACAACCACGACTATGATTATAACAACCACGACCATGATTATAACAACCACGACTATGATTATAACAACTGACGACCATGCTTATAACAACTACTTAATCATGATTATAACAACCACGACTATGATTATAAATAACCACGACTCGCGATTATAATAACAACCACGACTATGATCATAACCACGACCATCTTTATAACAACCACGACTGATTATAACAACCACGACTATGATTATGACATCCACGACCATGATTAAAACAACTACGACATGGTCATAACCAGGACCATGATTATAACAACCACGACTATGATTATAACAACCAAGACCATGATTATAACAACCACGACCATGATTATAACAAAAACGACTATGATTATAACAACCACGACTATGATTATAACAACCACGACTATGATTATAACAACCACGACCATGATTATAACACCTACTTAATTTATTTGCAACAACCACAACGATGTCTATAACACCTAATGACCATGATCATAATAACCACGACAATGATTTTACAACCACCACCATGATTATAACACCCACGACTATGCGATTATCACGACCACTACCATGATTATAACAACCACGACTATGATTATAACACCCACGACCATGATTATAACAACCACGACCATGATTATAGCAAACTAATGACCATGATTATAAATAAACTACGACCGCATTTAACATCCACGACCATGATTATAACAACCAATGATCAGATTATAAATGAACCACGAATATGATTAACAACCAATAGTACCATGATTATAAATATCTTGACCGCAGATTAGAACAACCATCTATGATTATAATAACTAATGACTATGATCATAACCACAACTATGATCATAACCAAATATGATTATAACAACCACTTAATAACAACCACGACCATGATATAACAACCGACCATGATTATAACAACCGACCATGATTATAACGACCTAACAACCACGACCATGATTATAACCAATTTAACAACCACGACCATGATTATAACAACCACAACTATGATTATAACAACCACGACCATGATTATAACATTACGACCATGATTATAACAACCAACCACGACTATGATCATAACCACAACTATGATTATAACAACCACGACCATGATTATAACAACCACGACCATGATTATAACAACCACGACCATGATTATAACAACCACGACCATGATTATAACAGCCACGACCATGATTATAACAACCACGACTATGATTATAACAACCACGACGATGATTATAACAACCAGGACCATGATTATAACAACCACGACCATGACTATAACAACCACGACCATCTGGAAAACGATGTCGCTGTACCCTGTCAGCCTGGCGGCGATTGAGCGCTAGCCAATCACGAGCTTTCGAACTTTCAAGGCCTCGGTAAACTGTACCACCAGACTCGCCCCCGGGCACGAAGGGCCCACGATCACTTGTATAGTACTAAAATCTGTTATTATACACTTCAGGTTTTCATCAGATCGTAACAGCAAAGTGTCATAGCGAAATAGAAACCACCCTTATGTAATTGTCTCATTACCTGGGCAATTAATTGTGAAACTGGTCCATTAATCAGTCGAATCCCTCCTGCCGAAAGACGTCGGGTTGATGTACTCAGCTTTCTCTCTTCTGTGTGATCTGAATATTGGTTCCCTTCGCCACCTCTTCGATCATGGAAAGTGCATTGTGCACGTGTTTGTGAGCACTTATGTGTCCGTGAGGATCAGGAGCAAGTTCAAGGTCTGAGATCGTGATTGTCAACAACTGGGATTGTGGCGTCCGCAGCGCTAGATGGGTCGTCACCTCCTCGTAGCCCTCTGGGCTTGTTCTTTGTTCAGTCTTCTCTCCTCTACATACTCTAAGACCATCACTTGGCTCTCTCTCTCTCTCTCTCTCTAACTGTAATGTTTAGTACGTCACCGTTATTCAGATGTAAATGTTCGTCAATAGACTAAAATCTGTGCATCAAAATAGCCTCCCCGGCAACTAACACAAAAAAACTTAGCATTATAAAGTTAAAAAGTAAAAATGTAGGGTTAAGACGAGTTGAGCTTCTGCTCCAAACAGGTAGATTGCGTTATATTTATAATGTATTATTTTCCCTGGCTGCGATGGTCGGTGAGCGACGTGGAGTTCCGTGCATGTGAGGAGGGAGTTTTGTCGTCATTAACTCACCCACGTGATAATAATAATAATAATAATAATAATAATAATAATAATAATAATAATAATAATAATAATAATAATAATAATAATAATAATAATAATAATAATAATAATAATAATTATTATTATTATTATTAATATTATTAAGTGAAAGCATATTACACTTTTGCAATTGGTTTGGCATGTACTCTATAAAGACTATGCAGGTTCAAAGTTCAGCATATGTATAAACAACGCAGGTATATGGTGTACATACAGTACGTAGACTGTGTAGGTACACAGTTGTCCGATTGTCTGGTACTCGTGAGAGAGAAACTGCGTATCATTCATAAAATTATGGTTCACATACTGCCAGCAATTCGATCACTTTTTCAACAGTTTAACAGGGTGCCGATATAGGCCACTGGAGCACTGATTTGATGTTGGTAAGGCGACTGACCAATTTATCCTATTCCAACAGAGACAGTTCCCCTAAAGTATGGTTTCTAAAACGTTTTATATGCCTACCGTTTACCCTGGGAATGGTTGATCCTGCCGCTAGATGCCCTAAAAGAGAGGTCTGAGGATGTATATGACAGGGAATTTCGGGTCTGGAACATAATATTGAAATAATAAACTGGAAATTAATCTGATGAGAACATGAATATAAAATCGATGGCACCACATTCAGGGTTGACCAGGACGTAGAAGCGTGTACCACTATTGGTACTGTATTGTACTGTATTGTTTGGTAGACACTGAGAGAGAAAATTGCCTTAGTTTACAAGCTTCGAGTCCGAGAGTCTGTCACGCCACGCGCTAATTTGCATGCATAATTATAAATTGTGATTGTTTCTGGGTACACGGGTATAATTTAACACAAACCCCACGACTGATTGCAACTCACCCCATCAGTTAATAAGGAGGAAGAAACAGTTTTATCATAGTCGCGATCAGACAGCAGGGGAAGAAATTCCCCCGTCATTTGACTTGAGTACAAACCCTGATACTGGTAGGAATAACATATTATGGAGTGGGAAGTATTTTGTGGAGGAGGACACCTTGTTCTGGAGGGAGATACCTTCTTCTGGAGGGAGACGCCTTGTTCTGGAGGGGGACACCTTGTTCTGGAGGGAGACACCTTGTTCTGGAGGGAGACACCTTGCTCTGCAGGGACACACCTTGTTCTGGAGGGAAACACCTTGTTCTGGAGGGGACACCGTGGTCCGCAGGGAGACACCTTGTTCTGGAGGGAGACACATTGTTCTGGAGGGCAACACCTTTCTTTGGAGGGAGACACCTTGTTCTGGAGGGAGACACCTTGTTCTGGAGGGAGACACCTTGTTCTGTAGGGAGACACCTTGTTCTGGAGGGGGGAGACCTTGTTCTGGAGGGAGACACCTTGTTCTGTAGGAAGACGCCTTGTTCTGGGGGACACCTTGTTCTGGAGACACCTTGTTCTGGAGGGGGCCGCGTGTTCTGGAGGGGAGACACCATGTTCTGGAGGAGACCTTGTTCTGGAGGAGACACGCCTTGTTCTGGAGGAGGAGACCTTGTTCTGGAGGAGACACCTTGTTCTGGAAGGGAGACCTTGTTCTGGAGAGAGACGCCTTGTTCTGGAGGAGACACCTTGTTCCGGAGGGACACCTTGTTCTGGAGGGGGAGGAGCTTGTTCTGGAGACCTGTGTTTGGAGACACCTTGTTATGGAGAGACCTTGTTCTGGAGGAGACACCTTGTTCTGGAAGAGGCGTGCTTGTTCTGGAGGAGGAGACCTTGTTCTGTGGAGGAGACACCTTGTTCTGGAGGAGACACAGGTATTCAGAGGAGACACCTTGTTCTGGAGGAGGACCTTGTTCTGGGAGAGGACACCTTGTTCTGGAGGGAGACACCTTGTTCTGGAGGGGAGACGACCTTGTATTATGGAGGGGACCTTGTTCTGGAGGAGACACCTTGTTCTGGAGAGGGGCCCCTTGCTTGTTCTGGAGGAGGGCCTTGTTCTGGAGGGAGACACCTTGTTCTGGAGGAGACACCTTGTTCTGGAGGGAACTTGCCTTGTTCTGGAGGAGGGGCCTTGTTCTGGAGGGCACAGCGACTACTGGAGGAGACACCTTGTTCCGAGAACGCCTTGTTCTGGAGAACACCTTGTTCTGGTGGGAGACACCTTGTTCTGGAGGGGCACCTTGTTCTGGAGGAGACACACCTTGTTCTGGAGGGACACCTTGTTTCTGCAGGGACACACCTTGTTCTGGAGAAACACCTTGTTCTGGAGGGGACACCGTGGTCCACTGGGGAGACTGCTGTTCTGGAGAGGGCACCTTGTTCTGGAGGGAGACTCCTTGTTCTGGAGGGGAGACACACTTGTTTCTGGAGACACCTTGTTCTGGGGGAGCACCTTGTTTCTGGAGGAGACACCTTTGTTCTGGAGGGAGGACACCTTGTGTTCTGAAGGAGACACCTTGTTTTGGAGAGGGACACCTTGTTCTGGAGGGAGACACCTTGTTCTGTAGGGGAGACACCTTGTTCTGGGGGGGGCTTCCATGTTCTGAAGGACACCTTTGTTCTGGAGGAACTACCTTGTTCTGGAGGGAACACCTTGTTCTGGAGGGAGACACCTTGTTCTGGAGGAGACACACCTTGTTCTGGAGGAGACACATGTATTTCTGGAGGGAAACTTGGTGTTCTGGAGGAGACACCGTGGTCCATGAGAGACACTGCCTCTGGAGGAGACACCTTGTTCTGTAGGGAGACACCTTGTTCTGGAGGGGACACCTTGTTCTGGAGGGGACCTTGTTCACAGGGGAACCTTGTATTTCTGTGGGGACCTTGTTCTGGAGAGATACCTTGTTCTGTGGGGAACTTTACCTTGTTCTGGAGAGGAGACACACTTGTTCTGGAGGAGACACCTTGTTCTGGAGACTTACCTTGTTCTGGAGGGAGACCTTGCTTGTTCTGGAGGGGACACCTTGTTCTGGAGGAGACGCCTTGTTCTGGAGAACATTGTTCTGGAGGGGACACCTTGTTCTGGAGAACACCTTGTTCTGGAGGACTGCCTTATTCTGGAGACACCTTGTTCTGGAGGGAGACGCCTTGTTCTGTAGGGAGACACCTTGTTCTGGAAGGAGACACCTTGTTCTCTGGAGGGGACACACTTGTTCTGGGAGGAGACACCTTGTTCTGGAGAGGGAGACACCACCTTGTTCTAGGCCAGACACCTTGTTCTGGAGGGAGCTGTGCCTTGTTTGGAGACACCTTTGTTCTGGAGGGACACCTTGTTCTGGAGGAGACACCTTGTTCTGGAGGGCACTTTGTTCTGGAGGAGACACCTTGTTCTGGAGGGAGACACCTTGACCTGGAGGGGGACACCTTGTTCTGGAGGAGACACCTTGTTCTAGTGCATACCTTTCTTTGGAGGAGGTACCTTGTTCTGGGAGGGACACCTTATTCTGGAGGGAGACACTTGTTCACAGGGGAGACACCTTGTTCTGGAAGAGACACCTTGTTCTGGAGGAGACACCCTGGAGGGAACACAGCTTGTTCTGGAGAACACCTTGTTCTGGAGGAGACACCTTGTTCTGGAGGGAGACACCTTGGGCTGGAGTTACCTTACCTTTCTTTGGAGAGACACCTTGTTCTGGAGGACACACCTTATTCTGGAGGAGACACCTTGTTCTGGAGGGAGACACCTTATTCTGGAGGCAGCACCTTGTTCTGGAGAGCACATATTCTGGAGGAACCTGCCTTGTTCAGGAGGGAGACACCTTATTCTGGAGACACCTTGTTCTGGAGGGAGACACCTTGTTCTGGAGGACACCTTGTTCTGGAGGAGACACCTTGTTCTGGAGGGGAGACACCTTATTCTGGAGGGAGACACCTTGTTCTGGAGGGGGTCGCCATGTTCTGGAGACACCTTGTTCTGGAGGGAGACACCTTTCTTTGGGAGGGAGACACCTTGCTCTGGAGGAGACACCTTGTTCTGGAGAGGAGACACCTTGTTCTGGAGGGGGACGCCATGTTCTGGAGTGAGAGACACCTTGTTCTGGGGGCAACACCTTTCTTTGGAGGGAGACACCTTGTTCTGGGGGCTGCCTTGTTCTGGGAGACACCTTATTGTTCTGGAGGAGCACCTTGTTGAGAGCCAGACACATGTTCTGGAGGGACACCTTGTTCTGGAGGAGACACCTTCTTCTTGAGGACAGCAACACCTTTCTTTGGAGGGAGACTCCTTGTTCTTGGGGATACACTTTGTTCTGGAAACACCTTGTTCTGGAGGAGCACCTTGTTCTGGAGGGAGACCTTGTTCTGGAGGGAGACACCTTGTTCTGGAAGCTGGTGCCTTGTTCTGGAGGGGAGGACACCTTGTTCTGGAGGAGACACCTTGTTCTGGAGGCCTTTGCTTTCTTTGGAGACACCTTGTTCTTGAGGGTACACTTTGTTCTGGAGGAAACACCTTGTTCTGGAGTGCAACACCTTTCTTTGGAGGAGACACCTTGTTCTGGAGGAACCTTACCTTGTTCTGGAGGGAGACACACCTTGTTCTGGAGGAGACACCTTGTTCTGGAGGAAACGCCTTGTTCTGGAGGGCACACCCCTGTTCTGGAGGGGGAGACACCTTGTTCTGGAGGAGACGCCTTGTTCTGGAGGACACCCTGTTCTGGAGGAGACACCTTGTTCTGGAGGAGACACTTTTGTTCTGGAGGAGTGCCTTGTTCAGGAGACGCCTTGTTCTGGAGACCTTGCTTGTTCTGCAGGGGGGACACCTGTTCTGGAGAAGACCTGCCTTATTCTGGAGGGGCACCTTGTTCTGGAGGGCTGCCTTGTTCTGGGAAGGTACCTTGTTCTGGAAGTACCTTGACTGGGAGGGAACACCTTGTTATGGAAGGAGGTGTATTCTGGAGAATTACCTTCTGGAGGAGACACCTTGTTCTGGAGGCGACACCTTGGTGTTCTGGAGGAGGTACCTTGTTCTGGAGGAGACGCCTTGTTCTGGAGAGGGACACCTTGTTCTGGAGGAGACACCTTGTTCTGCAGGGGCACCTTGTTCTGGAGGACACCTTGTTCTGGAGGAGACACCTTGTTCTGGAGGGAGACACCTTGTTCTGGAGGAGACACCTTGGTGTTCAGAGGACATCTTCTTCTGGAGAACCTGCTTCTTTGGAGGAACTTGTAGCAACCTGAGAGACACCTTGACTCTGGAGACACCATGTTCTGGAGGGAGGCACCTTGTTCTGAAGGGAGTCACGTTGTTCTGGGGAGGCCACCTTGTTGTTCTGGAGGAGACACCTTGTTCTGGAGAACTTTTATTTCTGGAGGGAGACACCTTATTCTGGAGGGGGAGACACCTTGTTTCTGGAGGGAGGCACCTTGTTCTGAGAAGAGTCGTTGTTCTGGAGAGGAGACACATGTTTCTGGACAGGACATCTTCTGGAGGCTGTACCCTTTCTTTGGAGAGACACCTTGTTCTGGAGGGAGACACCCCTGGCCTTGTTCTGGAGAGACACCTTGTTCTGGAGGGCTGTGTTCTGAAGGAGTCCACGTTGTTTCTGGAGAGCTTTGTTCTGGAGGGAGACACCGTGTTCTGGAGGAGACACCTTGTTCTGGAGCCCAGACACATTGTTCTGGAGAAGACACTATTGTTCTGGAGAACCCTTACCTTTCTTTGGAGGAGGACACCTTGTTCTGGAGGGGCAACACCTTTCTTTGGAAGACAACTTGTTCTGGAAGGAGACACCTTGTTCTTGAAGGGCACCCTGTTCTGGAGGAGACGCCTTGTTCTGGAGGAGACACCTTGTTCTGGGGGACACCTTGTTGGGAGGAGACACTACCTTGTTCGAGACAGCACCTTTCTTTGGAGGAACCCTTGTTCTGGAGGCTGTACCTTTCTTTGGGAGAACTTGTTCTGGAGGGAGACGCCTTTGTTCTGGAGGGAGACACCTTGTTCTGGAGGGGCTGCCTTGTTCTGGAAATTTAGCTGTATTCTGGAGACATTGTTCTGGAGGGACGCTATGTTCTGGAGGGGACACCTTACTCTGGGAGACAACACCTTTCTTTGGAGGGGGCACCTTGTTCTGGAGGAGACACACTTCTGGAGGAGACACCTTGTTCTGGAGGGACGCCATGTTCTGGAGCAGAGACACCTTGTTCTGGAGGGTACACCGTGTTCTGGAGGCATTTGCTTCTGGAGGGGACACCTTGTTCTGGAGGGAGACACTGCACTTGTGCTGGAGGGCTTTAAACTTTTCTTTTGGGGAGACACCTTGTTCTGGAGAACTGCTTGTTCTGGAGGGCAACACCTTTCTTTGGAGGAGACACCTTGTTTCTGGAGGAGACCTTGCTTGTTCTGGAGGGGACACCTTGTTCTGGAGGGGACACAGCCTTGTTCTGGAGGGAGACCTCTTCTGGAGGAGCCTGCCTTGTTCCTGGAGGGAGACACCTTGTTCTGGAGGGAGACGCCTTGTTCTGGAGGGGACTCCTTGTTCGGAGGAGACACCTTGTTCTGGAGGGAGACCTTGTTCTGGAGGACACCTTGTTCTGGAGGGAGACACCTTGTTCTGGAGGGGTTACCTTGTTCTGGACAGGGGACATCATCTTCTGGAGACCTTTCTTTGGAGGGGCACCTTGTTCTGGAGGGACACCTTGTTCTGGAGGAGACACCTTGTTCTGGAGGGAGGCACCTTGTTCTGAAAGGAGTCACGTTGTTTCCTGGAGGCACCTTGTTCTGGAGGAGTTTCCTTGTTCTGGAGGACACCTTGTTTCTGGAGGGACACCTTATTCTAGGGGAGGCCTGCCTTGTTCTGGAAGGCACCTTGTTCTGAAAGAGTCCATTTATTTCTGGAGAGGAGACACCTTGTTCTGGGCCGGGGACATCTTCTTCTGGAGGGCAACACCTTTCTTTGGAGACACCTTGTTCTGGAGACACCTTGTTCTGGAGGGGGACACCTTTTTTGGAGGAGGCACCTTGTTCTGAGAGTCACGTTGTTCTGGAGGAGGCACCTTGTTGGAGAGGAGACACTTGTTCTGGAGGAATCACACTTATTCTGAGCAGACACATTGTTCTGGGAGGAAGACACCCCTTGTTCTGGAGGCAACACCATTCTTTGGAGGGACATGTGTTCTGGAGAGCCTTTACCTTTCTTTTTAGAGGAGACACCTTGTTCTGGAGAGACACCCTTGTTCTGGAGAGGGGCACCTTGTTCTGGAGAACACCTTGTTCTGGAGAACTGCTTGCCTTATTCTGGAGGAGACACCTTGTTCTGGAGGGGGGACTGTGTTCTGAAAGTCACACGTTGTTCTGGAAGGAGACACCTTGTTCTGGACAGGGACATCTTCTTCTGGAGAGACAAATCCTTTCTTTGGAGGAGCACCTTCTTCTGGAGGAGACCTGTATTCTGGAGGAACCTTACTTGTGTTCTGGAGGAGGAACCTTGTTTCTAGAAGGGAGTCACGGTGTTCTGGAGGAGGCACTGTGTTCTGGAGGAGACACACCTTGTTCTGGGAGAGGACACCTTGTTCTGGAGGCAGACCGCATTTGTTCTGGAAGACACCGCCATTCCTGGAGGCAGCACCTTTCTTGGAGGACACCTTGTTCTGGAGGCAACACCTTTCTTTGGAGAACAACATTCTGAAGGACACCTTGTTCTGGAGGGAGACACCTTGTTCTGGAGGAGACACCTTGTTCTGGAGGCAACACCTTTCTTTGGGAGACACCTTGTTCTGAGAGGCAACACCTTTCTTTGGAGGGGGAGACATTCTGGAGAGGGAGGCAGCCTTGTTCTGGAGGGAGACACCTTTGTTCTGGAGGGAGACACCTTGTTTCTGGAGGGACAACACATGACCTGGGAGGGGGGAGACACCTTGTTCTGGAGGGGGACCGCTATGTGTTCTGGAGGGAGACTGCTTCTCTCTGGAGACCTTTCCCTTTCTGGAGACACACCTTGTTCTGGAGGGAGACACCTTGTTCTGGAGGGAGACACCTTGTTCTGGGGGACGCCATGTTCTGGGCGAGACACCTTGTTCTGGAGGGAGACCCTTGTTCTGGAGGGCGACACCTTGTTCTGGAGGACACCTTGCTCTGGAGGGGACACCTTGTTCTGGAGGCAAAACACCTTTCTTTGGAGACACCTTGTTCTGGAGGAGACACCTTGTTCTGGAGGCCACCCTTTCTTTAGGGGCACTTGTTCTGGAGGAGGCCTTGTTCTGGAGGGACACCTTGTTCTGGAGGGGACACCTTGTTCTGGAGGAGACACCCTGTTCTGGAGGAGACGCCTTGTTCTGGAGAACACCTTGTTCTGGAGACGCCTTGTTCTGGAGGAGACACCTTGTTCGGAGGGAGACACCTTGTTCTGGAGGAGACCTTGTTCTGGAGGGGCCTTGTTCCGGAGACACCTTGTTCTGGAGGAGACACCTTGTTCGGAGAGACACCTTGTTCTGGAGGGGAACCTTGTTGTTCGGAGGGGACACCTGTTCTGGAGGAGACCTTGTACTGGTGGGGAGACGCCTTGTTCGGAGGAGACACCTTGTTCTGGAGGAGACCTTGTTCCGGAGGGGGAACACTTGTTCTGGGAGGACCTTTGTTCTGGAGGAGACACCTTGTTCGGAGGGGACACCTGGTTCTGGAGGAGGGACCTTGTACTGGTGGGGCCTTGTTCTGGAGGAGATCCTTGTTCTGGAGGGAGACCTTGTTCTGGAGGGAGGCATATTGTTTTGGAGGAGACACCTTGTTCCGGAGGGAGACGCTTTGTTCTGGAGGAGCCTTGTACTGGTGGAACACCTTGTTCGGAGGACACCTTGTTCTGGAGGGACATTGTACTGGTGGGAGGCATATTGTTTTGGAGGAGACACCTTGTTCCGGAGGGGCACTTTGTTCTGGAGGAGACCTTGTTCTGGAGGGAGACGCCCTTGTTCTGGAGGGGACACTGTTCTGGAGACACCTTGTTCTGGAGACTTTGTTCTGGAGGAGACGCCTTGTTCTGGAGAGACACCTTGTTCTGGAGAGCCACCTTCTGGAGGGAGACACCTTTCTTTGGAGGAGACTCCTTGTTCTGGAGAGCTCCTTGTTCTGGAGGGAGACACCTTGTTCTGGAGGGGACACCTTGTTCTGGAGGGAGACACCTTGTTCTGGGGGGACGCCATGTTCTGGAGGGAGACACCTTGTGGGGGCAACACCTTTCTTTGGAGGGAGACACCTTGTTCTGGAGGGAGACCTTGTTTCTGGAGGGAGACACCTTGTTCTGGAGGGGGACGCCTTGTTCTGGAGGGCGACACCTTGTTCTGGAGGAGACACCTTTCTGGAGGAGAACCTTGTTCTGGAGGAACGCCTTGTTCTGGAGGCAACACCTTTCTTTGGAGGGACACACCTTGTTCTGGAGGAGACACCTTGTTCTGGAGGAGACACCTTGTTCTGGAGGAGACACCTTGTTCTGGAGAGACACCTTGTTCTGGAGGCAACACCTTTCTTTGGAGGGGCAACTTGTTCTGGAGGGAGCACCTTGTTCTGGAGGAGACTTGTTCTGGAGGAGACACCTTGTTCTGGGGGAGACGGGGGCCTCTTTGGAGGGAGACACCTTGTTCTGGAGGAGGGACACCTTGTTCTGGAAGGGGACACCTTGTTCTGGAGTGCAACACCTTTCTTTGGAGGGAGACACCTTGTTCTGGAGGGAGACACCTTGTTCTGGAGGGAGACACCTTGTTCTGGAGGGGGACGCCATGTTCTGGAGGGAGACACCTTGTTCTGGAGGGAGACACCTTGTTCTGGAGGGAGACACCTTGTTCTGGAGGGGGACACCTTGTTCTGGAGGGAGACACCTTGTTCTTACCTTTCTGGAGGGAGACATCTTGTTCTGGAGGGAGACACCTTGTTCTGGAGGGTTCTGGAGGGAGACACCTTGTTCTGGAGGGAGACACCTTGTTCTGGAGGGGGTCGCCATGTTCTGGAGGGAGACACCTTGTTCTGGAGGGAGACACCTTGTTCTGGAGAGGGAGACACCTTGTTCTGGAGGGAGACACCTTGTTCTGGAGGGAGACACCTTGTTCTGGGAGGGCAACACCTTTCTTTGGAAGCAGACACCTTGTTCTGGAGGCAACACCTTTCTTTGGAGGGGGCACTTGTTCTGGAGGAGACACCTTGTTCTGGAGGCAGACACCTTGTTCTGGAGGGGGACACCTTGTTCTGGAGGGAGACACCTTGTTCTTGAGGGCAACACCTTTCTTTGGAGGGAGACATCTTGTTCTGGAGGGAGACACCTTGTTCTGGAGGGCAACACCTTTCTTTGGAGGGAGACACCTTGTTCTTGAGGGGTACACTTTGTTTTGGAGGGAGACACCTTGTTCTGGAGGGGGACGCCATGTTCTGGAGGGAGACACCTTGTTCTGGAGGGAGACACCTTGTTCTGGAGGGAGACACCTTGTTCTGGAGGGAGACACCTTGTTCTGGAGGGAGACACCTTGTTCTGGAGGGCAACACCTTCTGGAGGAGACCTTGTTCTGGAGGATACACCTTGTTCTGGAGGGAGACACACTTGTTCTGGAGGGAGACACCTTGTTCTGGAGGCACCTATTTCTGGGAGGGCGCCATGTTCTGGAGAACACCTTGTTCTGGAGGAGACCTGCTTGTTCTCGAGGCGACACCTTGTTCTGGAGGACACCTTGTTCTGGAGAACACCTTGTTCTGGAGACAAACACCTTTCTTTGGGAGGACACCTTGTTCTGGAGGAGACACCCCCTTGTTCTGGAGGCTGACACCTTTCTTTGGAGGACACCTTGTTCTGGAGGGAGACATACCTTGTTCTGGAGAGAAAGACGCCTTGTTCTGGAGGGGGACACCTTGTTCTCGAGGGGGACACCTTGTTCTCGAGGGAGACACTTACCTTGTTATGGAGACCCAACACCTTTCTTGGAGGTGAGCACCTTGTTCTGGAGACACACCTTGTTCTGGAGAAAGACGCCTTGTTCTGGAGGGGACACCCCGCTGTTCTCGGAGACACCTTGTTCTGGAGGGGAGACACCTTATTCTCGAGGGACACCTTGTTCTGGAGGGAGATACCTTCTTCTGGAGGGAGACGCCTTGTTCTGGAGGGGGACACCTTGTTCTGGAGGGAGACACCTTGTTCTGGAGGGAGACACCTTGCTCTGCAGGGACACACCTTGTTCTGGAGGGAAACACCTTGTTCTGGAGGGGACACCGTGGTCCGCAGGGAGACACCTTGTTCTGGAGGGAGACACATTGTTCTGGAGGGCAACACCTTTCTTTGGAGGGAGACACCTTGTTCTGGAGGGAGACACCTTGTTCTGGAGGGAGACACCTTGTTCTGTAGGGAGACACCTTGTTCTGGAGGAGACACCTTGTTCTGGAGACACTGTTCTGGAGGACCTGTTCTGGAGGGAGACACCTTGTTCTGGAGGACGCCTTGTTCTGGAGGGGAACACCCTGTTCTGGAGGAGACCTCTTGTTCTGGAGGGCCCTTTGTTCTGGAGGGGGACACACCCTGTTCTGGAGACACCTTGTTCTGGAGGACACCTTGGTCTGGAGGAAGTACCTTGTTCTGGAAGGAGACGCTTGTTCTGTAGGGGACACCCTGTTCTGGAGGAACTTATTCAGGGAGACAACCTTGTTCTGGAGGGAGACACCTTGTTCTGGAAGGAGGTATGTTCTGGAGGTACCTTGTTCTGGAAGGAGACGCCTTGTTCTGGAGGAGACGCCTTGTTCTGGAAGGTCTTGTTCTGAAGGGAACACCTTGTTCTGGAGGAGACACCTTGGTCTGGAGGGGACGCCTTGTTCTGGAGGAGACACCTTGTTCTGGAGGGAGACACCTTGTTCTGGAGGGAGACACCTTGTTCTGGGAGGAGACACCTTGTTCTGGAGGGGACTGTGTTCTGGAGGACACACACCTTGTTCTGGAGGAACACCTTTCTTGGAGGGCCTTGTTCTGGAGGGGCCTTGTTCTGGAGGGGACTGTTCTGGAGAGAGACGCCTTGTTCTGGAGGGAGACACCTTGTTCTGAGGGAACACCGTGTTCTGGAGACCTTGTTGGAGGGAGACACCTTGATCTGGAGAACCTTGTTCTGGAAGACGCCTTGTTATGGAGGGAGGGGCCTTGTTCTGGAGGAGACACATTCTGGAGGAGACACCTTGTTCTGGAGGGCGCCTTGTTCTGGAGGAGACACCTTGTTCTGGAGGAGACACCTTGTTCTGGAGGAGACACCTTGTTCTGGAGGAGACACCTTGTTCTGGAGAGGACGCCTTGTTCTGGAAGGGAGACACCTTGTTCTGGAGGGGACACACCTTGTTCTGGAGGGAGACTCTTGTTCTGGAGGAGACACCTTGTTCCGGAGGGGACACCTTGTTCTGGAGGGGTAGACCTTGTACTGGTGGGGAGCATATTGTTTTGGAGGGAGACACCTTGTTCGGAGGAGACGCTTTGTTCTGGAGGAGACCTTGTTCTGGAGACGCCTTGTTCTGGAGAGACACCTTGTTCTGGAGGAGACACACTTGTTCTGGAGGGAGACTTGTTCTGGAGGGAGACGCCTTGTTCTGGAGGGAGACACCTTGTTCTGGAGACCACCTTGTTCTGGAGGGAGACACCTTTCTTTGGAGGGGCTCCTTGTTCTGGAGGGAGACTCCTTGTTCTGGAGAGCCTTGTTCTGGAGACACCTTGTTGCTGGAGGAGACACCTTGTTCTGGAGGGGACACCATGTGTTCTGGAGGGGAGACACCTTGTTTTGGAGGGCAACACACCTTTCTTGGAGGGAGACACCTTGTTCTGGAGGGAGACACCTTGTTCTGGAGACACCTTGTTCTGGAGGGGACGCCTTGCCTTGTTCTGGGAGGCGACACCTTGTTCTGGAGGAGACACCTTGTTCTGGAGGACACCTTGTTCTGGAGGAGACACCTTGTTCTGGAGGGCACACCTTTTTGGAGGGACACCTTGTTTCTGGAGAGACACCTTGTTCTGGAGGGAGACACCTTGTTCTGGAGAGAACACCACCTTGTTCTGGAGACACCTTGTTCTGGAGGGCCTAACTGGAGACACCTTGTTCTGGAGACACCTTGTTCTGGAGGCACCTTGTTCTGGAGGCTTACCTTGTTCTGGAGACAACCTTTCTTTTTGGAGGGAGACACCTTGTTCTGGGGAGACACCTTGTTCTGGAAACACCTTGTTCTGGAGTGCAACACCTTTCTTTGGAGGGAGACTCTGTTCTGAGGGGCACCTTGTTCTGGAGGAGACACACCTTGTTCTGGGAGGGGACACCTTGTTCTGGAGAAACCTCTTGTTCTGGTGCAACACCTTTCTTTGGAGGAGACACCTTGTTCTGGAGACACCTTGTTCTGGAGGGAGACAGCAATACGCAGCTTC